AAGTACGGGGTAAAAAGCATAATTTTGTTGCACATCCTGACCCGCAAGGAATAACAGATGGTCTCGTAAATAAATGGGCGGAAGCTGCCAATCTTAGTTCATTACCCGCTATAACGAGAGAGTCATTAGATTCTTGGAAAGGTGATTGATTGATTGATAAAGATTAAGCCACCCAAGAGGTGGCACGGGCATGAATAGCCTGTAAGTGGTAATCTTGGAAAGATCTATGTAAGTTTTTTTTATACTTACAGCAGGTAACAGTGGTGATGTCACTTGCACAGGTATTACCCGAGAAGAACTAATAATGGGGATTAAAGTTGGGAAATCTACCGCTCCTGGGGAGGATGGAGTAACTTATGAAATATTTAATGAACTTGCCATTATGACAAAAGCCCACTGTTAGACCTCTTTAATATTAGTTATAAAGAGGGCAGTATTCCTAGTAAATACTAAAATTGTGCTGCTTTTTCAGTCATGTTCCCCTTTTTTTTTATCTTTATTTGTATTTGTTCTCAACACTTTTTATTCTTTATGCTCAATTAGTATTAAGTTCTAGATATTAATGTTTTCTTGCCCGAAACGCATTGCGTAATAGTGGCTTTAGGCATTGTATGTACTAGCTCTATCTATATATCAATCCATTAATGTAACATCACTTGTATGTATGTATGTACCTTACCTGAATAAACATATTTATTTATTTATTTATTTATTTATTTATTTATAAATGGAAAAAAGCTATGATCATCCCTATCCCTAAAGCCAATGGAGAGTACAGACCTGTGTCCTTAACCAGAATATTGTGATAGAGTGTAGAGAGAATGTTAAGAAATTAGAAAAAACTGGGTATGAAGTAAGATTCATGTGCATCCCTTTACATGTGGGGAATACTGTTGAATGAGGTTGTTGATGAGATAGCGAAGAGAGCCATGGAAAAAACCTTTGTTGATGTTGTATGTCACATAACTTTGAAACAAATAAAAACAAGAATCAAGATGATCCAAGAGGGTGAAGAAATGGTAAAGAGAATGGCAATGGTAGACAGTAGTAACGCACTTAAGAATTATTCAATAATAAATACAAACTCGTCCTTCACCTATGGTAAAGGAAAGTCTACTTGAAAGGATTCAATTTACATGAGATTAAGATAAGGATACAAATATATCTGGCAATACGGTGTTGATGTCAGTGAAAAAGATAAGGAGTGTAAATTATGTAGTATGCCGCACACCCACACCTTAGAACATTATGTATTAGTGTCAACGTATTGATAACTATAGAAATAAGGAAATAAGTAGTGTACCACATCAAATTGTTTGGATGCGTGATAATGGTATGATACAGTATACTTAGGAGCTACAAGAATTTTGCCCCAAGGGTGTAACACTTATATGCTGTACTTACTATATTAACCTGCAATGTTAAATGGGATTCTTGTATTGTGATTTGTCTATTTGTACTCACTGAATTTGTGCGCCCCTTGAGGGACTTGAAGTAGAGGGGGGGGGGGGTAGAAATAGCCTAAGCTACTCTATCCCTTTGAGATGTATTTCTTTCTTATCTCAATGAACATGAACTTGAGACGTTTTGTGTTGATTTAGGAGCGACGACGATCCTGAAAGACGTTTTGTGTATTAATGACTTTATTTTATATGCAACCCGAGTACCTTCGGATATGCCTCTGTATTATGTTCTTGTGTATGTAGCTTTTATGAATACATTATTATTATTATTATTATTATTAGTATTAGTAGTAGTATTAGTATTAGTAGTAGTAGTAGTAGTAGTAGTAGTAGTATTAATATTATTATGTTTACTATTATGGTGTTTGTAAACACAGACTGCTTTATACTTTACATCTCTGGAGGCAGCATGGCATCATTGTTACCAAACTAAACAAAAATGAAAAGCCGCTTTAAAAATATGAATTATATATACTTGTGTGCTTGCCAAACCGGTTATTTTAACGTGTATTCATTATTTAAATAATTAATTGTAATTGCAAGTAGGTAATATTATTGTTATCAAAATAAGTGCGAAAGAGGCAGCGAGCGTGCGCGTGTGGCCGGGCGTGGCAACACTGCCTCGCTGCTCACTCAAGGGTTGGTGTCTGGACAACGTGCACCAAAATGTACCTTAATTATTATTTAAACGAGAAGGGCGATAGGGTTTACACTATTGCGGTAAGTATGAAGTCTAATTGTTAACGAAAGGAGTCACAATATTCGTCTATTAAAGTAAGTTGTAGTACTGATGGATTAGTAAAAGGTCGGATCTATCTCCCAGTTTTAGTTAACTTATTAAAGCGTGTGTGTGAACCTTCACACACACCTACGCTTCGACAAAGCTGTTTTCTAATTGTTAAGACCGAATATATCGTTAGGTTATGCTGTATTGGGTTCAGTTAGGTTAGGCAAGCTTAAAGATCTTTCAAGCTGTAAACTCTGGGCTCACACTCCAAAGATAAATCATTCAAAAGATAAATAATTTGAATAAAGGCAAGCTTAAAAATCTGCCTTGATACAGCGTGGCTTTCATTTACCGGACATTGTATTCACCTAGTCATATTCGCCTAGTTTTGCTTGCAGGGGTTGAGCTCTTGGCCCGCCTCTCAACTGTTAATAATTTTTTTTTCACACATCTCCAGGAAGCAGCCTGTAGAAGCTGTCTAACTTCCAGGTACCTATTTATTGCTAGGTAACAGGGGCATCAGGACCTGGGACCTCTGTTGTTTATAATATATATAAATGATTTAGATTCAGGTTTGAGTAGCAACATTTGCAAATTTGCCGATGATACGAAAATCGGTAGGGAAATTAATTCGGAGGAGGACTCACTATCACTTCAAGTTGATCTAGATAGGGTTTTGAAATGGTCAAAGGATTGGCAGATGCAGTTTAATGCTGATAAATGTAAAGTTCTGAGGTTAGGTAATGATGATAGAGTTACAAGATACGAGCTAGATGGTGTTGTGATTGCGAAGTCGGATTGCGAAAGGGATCTGGGAGTTATGATTAGTAAGAATTTAAAACAAAAGGATCAATGCATAAATGTTCGTAATAAGGCAAATCGGACACTTGGATTTATTAATCGCAGCGTTAGTAACAAGACACCTGGTGTGGTTCTCAAGCTATATCTTGCTCTAGTTAGGCCCCATTTAGATTATGCAGTTCAGTTTTGGTCGCCATATTATAGAATGGATATAAATTCACTTGAACGTGTCCAGCGTAGGATGACTAAGTTAATTCCCCAAATTAGAAATCTTTCATATGAAGAAAGATTAACAAAGCTTAAGTTGCATTCACTGGAAAGGCGAAGAGTTAGGGGTGACATGATAGAGGTTTACAAGTGGATGAATGGACATAACCGGGGGGATATTAATAGGGTATTAAAAGTATCAACACAGGACAGAACACGAAACAATGGATATAAATTGGATAAGTTTAGATTTAGGAAAGACTTGGGTAAATACTGGTTCAGTAACAGGGTTGTTGATTTGTGGAACCAATTGCCGCGTAACATTGTGGAGGTGGGGTCCCTCGATTGTTTCAAGCACGGGTTGGACAAGTATATGAGTGGGATTGGGTGGTTATAGAATAGGAGCTGCCTCGTATGGGCCAATAGGCCTTCTGCAGTTACCTTTGTTCTTATGTTCTTATGTTCTTATCAGGATGAAAGAAACTGCCCATTTGTTTCCGCCATTGCCGGGGATCGATCCCAGGTCCCCAGGATTATACGAGTCCCACGCGCTGTCCACTCGGCTACCAGGCCCCTTGATTCTATCTTTCCCTTGTCCTCTCTAGATGCAGGCATCTGTGTACACAGTGTTGGTGGCTCATCCCATGCAAATCCAACAATTAAAGTGATATTAATATGCAAGGTTGCAGGGTGTGTTTGGCGTAAGTTTCCAATGGATTCCGAGATACAACTGTACATGTGTTTAGTTTTGGTATTAATTACTGGCAGAAAGCAGATTGTGGTGCTGGTATCAGACATGTGGTTTATTACTCATAATGTATCTTTTCTTATTGTCTACTTGTGTCATTCTACAATTGCAAGGTCCATACAACTGACAGAAAACAGAAGGAACATTAAATGAAATATGACGTCTTGAATTTTATGATAAAAACGTTAATTGGATTTGATAAGCATTCATGTAATCTTGGTTTCAGTATAGTATAGTTACTAATTTGATGAAAATGAAGATCATATACTATTCTGAGAGAATAACAACATTAAATGAACTATTGGTGATACATAGTTCATATTTTTTATTCTGAATTGAAAAGCTGAAGTTTTCAATATTCAATTTTAAAATTAATTTTGATTCTCTTGTTTTTCAAGTTACGTTGTGATCATTTAGACAAAGTTGGATCATTTGCCCAGTTGATCATGCAAAAAAAAATTGGAAAGTGTTTGTGCCAGTTTTAAAAGCTTATGTTGAATTATGCTATGTCAAATCATATATGTATGTATTGCATGGTTTAAAAGTTAATCTATATCTGTTAATTATGTAGCAGTCTATAATTTCAAATTGCCGTGTATAATGATTTTTAATTTTATTTCCTATTTACAGAAGACTGATCCAAATGGAAAGCCATGCTTTTCTGCCCACCCAGGTAAGTTGTGACCACTATCAGCAGGGTTAATAAACTAGCTTTTTAATTAAATTTAATCCACTTTTAGAAAACAATGCCCATTGGTGTAGAAATTTGACATGAAAATTGAATGTTGTATTGTGTTACAAATTTTGAACTTTATTACATTTGAAGCCACTATTACTGTGTGGATAAATGTCTCTAATTAAATGAATAAATTAATTAATTTTATTTAGGGAAAAGTACATACATAATGAATTACAAATAGAATGTTGGATTTCTAGAAAAAGCAAGTATAAACTATGCCTAAAGCCACGTACACTCAGCAATGCTGGCAAGATTAGTAACTATTCTTGCTGTCAATTATTTCCAAATTGCAACTATGCTCTACATTACCTCACCAATAGTAAACAATGGGGGTACTGTAGTTGGATAATAATAAGTCTCTGGGTATTAAGATATGACCCACGAGCCACAATTTTAAATAAATCCAGCTCTGACAATCTAGCTCTTTTGGGGTAAAATTATATGTATTCTTATGCCTGGCGTGATACCTGGCTGAATCATGCCAAGCAGGTAAAGTGGTTGTGTACTTTAATTCTTTTTCTCACCAAGTTTTGTCTACCCAATTGAGACACTGTGTAGTTTGAATGTGTTGATTTTCAGGACGTTCGTGTATCTTGCTTCCCAACTGACCCCCTCGATATATAGTATTCCTTGGTGAGTCTGATACATTTGATATCACTTGCTTTATGCGCTTTTGTTCTGATATTGGCATCCTTTGTGATATTTAGCTCCTTTTAAATCTCCTGCAACTTTGATGGTTATACACAAGTCACCCTAGCTTTGAGCCGTCTTTTCAAAATTACTTGCTTAACCATGTACAGTAGTTACCTGCAATATTCAGCTGAATATTTCAACCTATCCTCTTGTTTAGTAAGTAATTATCAAAAGAAGGCACCAAACTGGTAAGACTGTGTAGCACCATCAAAGTCGTATGATGTTCAAAATGCACTAAATATCACCAAGGATGCCACTACGAGGACAAAAGTGCATGAGGCGAGTGATATCAAAGGTATCTGATTCACTATGGATTTTATCGAGGGACAGTCGGAAAGCAAGAGACATGTCTTGGAAGTCGGTACATTCAACAAGGATATGTGCAACCATAAGAGTGATAATACAGTTCGGCCAATAAGAAGCAGAGAGGTGCTCCATTAAGTGCCCACGAGTTAAACACACAATTGCCGATATGTAACTTCGCCAGAGCTGTTTTGCACCTCTGGTTATGGTGGTAGGAGGAGGGCCAAGGGGACAGGCTACCCTTAATGTGCATGCAGTTCGTTACCAGCACCAGAAGATCAACGACCCTGCCAACGGGCATGGATTGAGGAATGAATGACTGGGTAGAAGTCGAAATAAGGCCAAGTGAGGATAGCCTCCTTAGCTGCGGCATCCACATGCTCATTTAAGGAAACACCAATATGCCTGAGAACCTAGCAAAACTTGACTGTCTTAAATTTGCTGGAGATAAGATACAGCCAATGTTGAATTTTAACTACCACAGGATGGATAGGACTAAATAACTCCAGAGCCATGAGGGCACTGCGAGAGTCAACTATAACGACAAAGGAATGTTGACAGCAAGAAAGCAGCTCTCGAAGAGCATACAAAGTGGCACAAAGTTCTGTCATGAAGATGCTAGTCTCCGGGAGCAGGCGGCACATACAGGTGTGGTTGGGGAATGCAACGGAGTAACCAACACCATAGGCAGACTTAAACTCATCTGTGAAGATGGCAGCAGAGCAGGAGTGTGAAGAAGTGTGTGTGCAAGGAAAAGGCATTTCAGAACTGAAGAAAAGGTAGAAGCCTTTGTCATGTGGGTCAAGGTTTTTCAAAACTTCAAAAGTAGGACCCTCCACAGGGGCAAAGGCACAAGAAATATTGATAACATGAAGCAAAAGAGAATCTTGCAAGCAAGACAACCATACTTAAAAAGGCAGTTTATGTAAGGGATAAAGGATACCTGATCAACCAGGCTGTGACTCATACGTCAGGCTGCGAGCAGCCGCGTTCAACAGCCTGGTTGATCAGTCCAGCAACCAGGAGGCCTAATCGACGACCGGGCCGCGGGGACGCTAAGCCCCGGAAGCACCTCAAGGTAAGGGAACAGGGCTCAAAGGAGGGGCAACGATCAAAGTACAACATAAATGAGTGAGGATGTTGTAGGGATCGCGCAAGGTAACAAAGACTAACGATCACAAAGATCCTGTAGAGGCAGGACGCTGGTTTCAACATATAAGCTCAGGGAAGGGGACGAAGGAAAGGCACCAGAGCTGAGGCGCAACCCTTTAGACAGTACTTTTTGAAACTATGTGAACCATCGTACATACATAGACATAATGGACAATTAGTAGAATTTGGTACTATTCACTTTATAGAATCCCAAAAAATCAAGTCAAAATCCAAACTTAAATATTTCTAGGTCTAGTATAGCACACATGTACTATATTAGGCCTCTGATAGCATGTATTATGTCTAAGGTGGTTAGGCGAGATTTAATTTTCTTTGCAACATCAGTACAAAAGCTTTTCTGGCTTGTATAAATTCAGTAGTACCGATTTCTACTTTCTAATTACCTTTTTCGTCTATGTATGTTCAATGCTCCTCATTGTTACTATGAGTACTACCTTAACATGCAGATGGGCTGGATATCTCTAGTTTTTTATGCCTTTTTTCATTTGGCTACAGTGCAACGCCTTTTACCCTTTCTACTGTACACTTCATAACCAGTTTCTATAGTTTTTTATTTGTATTTCTGTTTTTGCTCAACAAAAAGTGCTGTTGTACATTAATATTTTAATGCAGATACATCATTACTTTATATATAAAAAAAATGCTAAAGCTGAGAAAACGTGAAGACTATACTTGTTGATATTTTGTATGTTTGATGGGTTTTCAACTACAAAAAAAAATCATAATTTGAGAGGCTACTACAAAACCTCAAGAAATAAATATACTGTACAGTAGTTTGAAATCTATATTTTCTTCCCTGCTATGTACCAGCATAAAAAAAAAGTGATTCAATTTCTCAGGTAAAATATTGGCTGTGTAAGTGTAGTATTGTATATATATATTTCTTGGTTTAATAAAAACTTTAGAAATTAGATATATGTCATAGATGTTCTTTTTTCTGTATACAGTATGTACATTCACATACAAAACTCACATAGCCTACAGAAACATGCACTATGCATCCATGTGCAAGCATTGTATGATTTTACACTGTAATGTTTAGAGTATAAAACACTAATAGTTTTTCTTTTCTTTTCAGCAAAGTTCTCCCCAGAAGATAAATATTCATGCCAGAGGATAATAATCAAAAGGAGATTTAAATTACTACTCACCCAACAACCTCCAGTGCGCTACTAGCACTTACATATGGTAAGATCTATTGCAAGCTGTTTTACAACATACAAAAATGGGAGTTTAGGGTTTCAGTAGGCTGCAATTATATTGAATATCTAGCGGCTTATTATTTGAAAATTCATAATTCACTTCTGTATATACAGTGCACTTTACAGTACTGTATATGTATGTGTGAGCGATATAAACTGTGCACATGATATAATGTCTTGCATCTCATTCCTTCACCACTTTTTCCAGTCAAATGGCCACAGAATTTCATTCCTTCACCACTTTTTCCAGTCAAATGGCCACAGAATTTCATTCCTTCACCACTTTTTCCAGTCAAATGGCCACAGAATTTGTGAATTGAATAACATTGACTGCTTAGTGGAAGCACTGAAGGACTTGTTCACTCGCTTTCCAGTCCCTTTAATTAATATGAGTGGACATTCCACTTCCACCTTCAAGGATGACCTCAAAGGCCAAGTAATACTGAGCAAGTGGGGAACCGTATAAATAGTTTTGAAATAGTTTGAATAGGTCAGATTTCCCCCAAAAAATGGGTACAAACTAGAGAAGTTTAATTTTAGGAAGGCTGTAAGAAAATATTACTTTGGGAATAAGTTTGTGGATCAGTGGAATGGGCTGCTGGCTAGTATTATTGAGAAAGTACAATGGGTTTAAGGAATTAATTGTACTCGCCTAGTTGTGTTTGCGGGGGTTGAGCTCTGGCTCTTTGGTCCCGCCTCTCAACTGTCAATCACAACTGGGCATTGTATTGGTATACGAGTGCGATGGGATGATTTCAGAGATCTGCCCATTATTGGCCAGCTGTGGTGCTCCCTAATTCTTATGTGCTTACGTATCAAGAGACTGCTGGCGGAGGCTTCATTTGTACTCTTATCTACCAGCTAGGATTTTAAATAAAACACTACTAGAGACAAGAAGTTTGGAATGAGACAACTGCAGTGTATTTTCAAGGAAGCACTTGGCTACAACTGTCACTGACATTAATTCTTTGCAAAGTGCTGGGGAAAGTAGTTAAGAAGATTGGTAGAGTACCCTGAGAGGACACACTGTAACTGAGGGTAACAGTTTTAGAGAGAAAAATATCTGAAATACTTGAGAATCTGTAAGACAAAGCCATCAAGTTATGACAAGAATGAATAGTGGGTAGACTGCATTTTATTATTTGTCTGAAGAGCATTTTGCATTCTTCCTTATTAAATAGCTTGTACTGTATGTATGATTGAGAAGCAAGCTGGATAACTGAAAAACCTGAAAGTGGGTAACAGAGTACCTGACAGAAAACAGAGGGTGACAGTGAGACCATAGATGCCAGGCTAGGGAGATGTAGGAGGCCAGGTACCTTAAGGTTTGGTCCTAGACCTCTTGCTGTTCCTAATCTATATACAGTATGTGAATGACTAATCTGAGAGTGTATTTGTACATGTCTGTCTTTGCAACTGACATAAAACCAATGTAACATAAATGGGTAAAACTAACAGGAAATCAGAAGACAAGTACACTATAAGGGAAAGGCAATTGCAGAAATTGGATAGAGTAAAAGACTTTGGAGTGGACATAATTCCAACATGACACTAATATAACAAATAAAGTAACATTGGTAGCATATGAGAAGCTGGCAAACATTAGGTCACTTAAAACTCTAAATGAGGACTAGAGACAATCTTTACAACCATTGTGAGGCTGCAAGACTACTGCTAGTATCAAGAGTATTAAGCTATGAGGACAGGAGAGGAGACCTGAATCTTCCAACCCTAGAATAGATTAGGTACAGAGTACTCAATGTGATCATTATAGAAAAGATACCGAGGGGCATAGATAAAGCGGGTACAGGCATCCTTATTAACCCTTGGTATGCAGCTGTAATCATAATTGCCATTTTATCTAAACAAGAATAAGACAATGCAGCATATGTCATCATATGAAATGCAGCATACAAAAATAGGTCATAGCATAGTGACAAGGTTAGTGATCAAAATAAGGGGTTTAAGCTATATAAAATTTAAACTAACAAACCTAGAAAGAATAACAAAAGAGAAGATGATCACTACACACAAATTATTTAGAGTAATAGGTAAGAGGGACAAGGACAGCCTCTTAAAATTGAAGATAAATGGTTTCAAGAGAACAAGATGGAAGCTTGAAATGTAAATGAGTCGGAAAAGTGAAATGCACTTGTTCGCAATGAGGGTGGTCAAGTGGGATGCACTTAATAGTATTGGAAGGTTCCACCATCCACAGTTGCATGGCAAATATCGGAAAGAAATTTAAATGTGCCAGATGAAAAGAGCTCGAAGGCAGGGTCTAAGCTGCTATATTTTGCTCAGTAAAATTTGATGTGCAGCCAACACCAGCACACCACCCAACACTACCACACCACCATCCACATCATCACACCAGAATTCAACTTGCACACGACTTTAGCCAAAAACTACCACCACCATTTCACCACAACATTGAATATTACCTCTTCTCTCTCACATTTTACCAACCTTATTATGCTGCTTATACTCATTATATTCTCTGTACTAATTATATTCTTTTACTCATTCTTGTAACAATCGCCCTCCTCATTACACCATTTGGTTCATATCTTGAAACATCCCAACCTGGGGCTACCCCTCTTGATTGACTGATCAAAACATAACTAATTAAAATTTCCTTCACACAGGCCTAACCTTGGGAGCAATAAGGAACCCCAAGTGCTGTGTGAAGCAGGGAAGGACTACCAAATCTTCAGTTGGGAGAACAACAAAAATCTTTTCATAATATCAACAAAATATAAAATGTGGTTTAAATTTATTTAGACCAACAAAAATTTGTTAATTTCATGTTGTTTCATGTTTAAAATATTACAATGTCATTGATGTTTTGTTCCCGATTTGTAATTCATGTTAATTTTCAAGTCGGGTGACATGATGTAGATCATTTAAGATAAGTTATAAATAAAATATATTGTAAAAAAAGTGTTTGATCTTACTGAAAAGTACAATATTATTGTACATTTGAAAACTCAAGTTTCTCAAGGAATACTGTGTCTGGTACTGTTACCATTGTAATGGGGTGCTGTAGAAATGCTTGACAGTTTATATTGTACTCAGTCCTTACTCTAGTTAACACTTGCAACAAGAACAAATTTGAATAAGAAAATGCCATATTGCATATTGTGTTTAAAGACACATGAAAATTCAATAAACAAGGAATGTTAAGCTTATTAATGTATCATCACTATAGGTTAATTATTCCCCAATGGTGCTAATTTTCCCATGTTTTGTCATGCACGTGAGAAATGAAAACCGTGTCTGTTATACAAGTTGTTATACAAGTCTTATACAAGTTGTGTGTGTTATGTTATCATCTCAAGATAACAATGTTGGTTCAAGTAGGTACAGTATTTTGGAAGGGCAAGGAAAGTTTTTGGATATGAGTGTAACGTACGTGTTTGATTGCAGCAGGCTCCTAGGCCCTGCTAAGGAAGAACCAGGACCAAAGTCATCAGTTACTTTGCCATGTATGGAGACCCATATATTCTCCGTTTCTCTTCATATAGAAGATGAACTTAAACTACAGGTCCTGGGGCCACAACATCACATGCGTAGAGATTGAGGTAAAATGTAAGGTTTAGTTAAGGCCAACTGAATTGGTTAGTCTGACTATAAGGTCTAGTTTGAGTTTGGTCAAGATGGCATAGGAGGATCAGTATTCCTATAGGTCTGTCGGTTGCTATTCAGACTTCATCGATTACCTATAGTCACTTTAATAATTATACATTCACCTTGGGCATCGTAGTAGGTGGGGCACAGGGAAGTTAGGTTTCCTTTCATATGTGCTATATTTCTATTTCATTGACTTGTGTGGGAAGGGGAGCTGACAAGATCCATGAGTCGGGGTCCCAATGGAATTGAATTTGAATCGTTGCTGCCGGAGGCGGCTAGTTTATTGTGCACCCCATACTAGTCCTGTGAGCGGTAGTGCAAAAAGCATTACAGAGGGCTCAAAAGGTCTTGTCAGACCTCAACGAAGATTATTCCATATAAACAATTTCATCCTTCACACCTTATAATTACAATGTCAGCTAATTACAGAAAACGTTCTATTTCAAGAGATATATATTAACAATAAGTCATTATACACACATGGTAGGTCTTATCGCTAATACATAATTGTTTGAGCAAATGGAGATGTTACAGTCATAGGGAAGCTGCTGTTTATTATTATTCTTCACAATACACTACAGTACTTGTTTCTTAATCTCATACAGTATGTCGTTTATCTACTAGAAGCAAAATATGGATACAGTACAAGGATTTCAGGTATTTTATCCATGGTAGTAAGATAGGTTGCCATATACAGTGTGAGCTTAGATTTATCTCAAGATGAATCAATTTTACTACAATCCAAGATATAGTGTTTGTCTATTCACAGTCGAGCTATTCACAGACGCCGTCTTGTTGAATCGGCTCTGATACACAACCTACCCAACATGAACCTGAGTCCTGGCTTTGTTGCTGTTAACTCTTCCCTTTCACAGTACATGCTCAAATGTTCTAAATTTTCTACCCAACGTGACCTAACATAAGCCTAACACTCTCTTGCCTTACTTATGCCCGTGCCTTTCTCGTCTCTTCACTATCGACTTGATAATGGTTCAGGACGGACCGAAACGTCGTCATCTTTTCATCTTCTAGTGTGTGGTTTGGTCAACATTCTTCAGCCACTTTATTGTGACTCATCATCTGGATGTGGATTTGGCTTTAGTGTGAATAGCGGCTCGTTTTCCGGGATAAACGTCCATATCCGTACAATCTACCACATCGTTACTATAAGTACTTTCATTTTAGAAGGATGGTCTTAACACCTGAGATAAGGAAACTATAGTTTTCAGATTAAAGCTGGTAGTCGGAGTCTGCTTCAATGGAAAAGTTAAAAACTGAGTATTATTATAACTTAATATTATTCAGATACACGTGTCTGATATAGAGAACTTGGGCAAATTACAAGACTGCATCATGACAATGTGTAAAGTGTAATCGTCAACGTAAGAGTGTGGGGTGCAAGATAACACTTTGCAAGACCCCACAATTGATAAGCAGTGGCCTACATCGTCAGCTCACACCCGAGGGATCCCGGGTTCAATCTTCGTGGGGAAATAGAAGCATTTGTGCAACGTTTCCTTTGAACTGATGCACCTGTTCGCCTAGCAGAAAATAGGTATCTGCGTGTTAGGATATTGTTGTGGGTTGCATCTTGTGGAAGGTCAGTAGTTGGCAAAAAGGACCTAGGTAAACCTAACAAGCTTCCTATCATAGACAATGGAAAACTTCAAAGAAAGGGGTGGTCATCTTCCTCCTGGACAAGTTTGATAGAACAGAAAACGGCCGACAGCAATAACCGAAGCTCTCTTGGTCTATTTACAGAAGTTCCCGCTTGTGTTTCTCCTCCGGGAAGCAGGACTGTAGGAGGATGACCATGGTGACGTACTGTGGTGTCTTGGCGGCCCTGTGTTGGGTGCTTTACCTGCTAGCAGCAAACAACTCTCAACGCAAGGAGTCACAAGCGATGTCCTCAACACCCACAAAACAACATCCACACATTACAACACCACAGAGTCTATCGCCAATTAACAAAGTAATTACAAACAGAGCAATGCAAAATATGTACAGTGACCACAACACAGCAGTTGCAACATCAGGATCTGCGGGTTGATACAAGAATTCAACCAACCACGAATCACTTAGTTTGATGATAGGGAGCAGTAGAACAGCAGAAGTACACTTACATTCAAGCTTCATGGTTGTTAGTGTAAACTGCTGCCCCAGCAGAACCTCTTTCTTGATCAACTGATCCATCTGTGATCAGTTGACCATCTGTGACTCGCAGAGGCTTTGAGCCTCTGCGAGTCACATTTTTATTTTTTAACTGGTAATCCTTCAATGATAGATCCTATCTACGGGGTTGCATTCTTATAACGACGATCAGCTAATACTGGAGGTGAGTGGGTGGTGACCTTCCCCAATTGCTGTTTCACCCATAGGCTCCATTTATCTTCCAAATATGCTCCCGGCTGCTTTATCCACATATTCGCCATTTCTTCACCTATATGCTTCTCATACCTCAAACTGCATGCTTGCCATTTCTTTACTCTCGTGTTCCCATGGCTTCACCCTTCACATGCTCCATATTTTGTCAGACTGCATCCACTGCTACATCAGTATACGTCCCACTAGTCTATCTCGGTCATATAATAATAATGCTACACATTGTTTATAACGTATGTTCGCCTCACAACTTAGCCTACATTCTTCTCGCTGTGTCACCCTGTTACGAACCCGGATCCAGCGTCCGAGCAAGGAGCAGCAACGACTACGCCATCTGTGGGTCAGCTCCCGAAACCCCCGCCAAACGAACGACGACACCGGATGAGGACGGCGAATATCGGCCACAAGGGCCAGTTTCCAGTCCTGTGCAGCTCACAACACAGCCGCTCCTGACCTCTGGTGAGGTGGTGCTCCGACGACTGCGCCATCTATGGACTGGATACGTCAGGTGTTTGCGCCCGAACCCGTAAGTGAGGTGTTTTAGTGTCCCAGTTATTGATGACGTGTCTGCTTACAGAGTCGACCTGGGACTACTGTGATGGGAGTGGAGTCAGTCTACCCGAGGCAGCCAGTCTTCATACTGTGAAGTTTGCTGCAGCTGTTGTGACGTCGTCCCCCCGGAAGAACACTGTGGTGTGTTAGCCTGCCAGTGGAGTGGCAGTGAAAGGATTTACCCGGGACCGACTGTTGGAGACGATCATCCACTGGGGTATTGAGGACAGGAGGGTGATTTGTGATATCACACGAGACTCCTGTCTAGGGCGTACCCCTTATATCGTTCGTGGAGTGGCCGTACCAGCCTTGGTGGCTCAGTACCTGCCAGCAGATCAGCTGGACGTGTGGTTGACGGCCTCCACGACGGTGCCCCCAGTGGACCTGCGTTTTGGCTGACCTGTGGCCCGGGTAGGCTCGGCATTCTCAGAGGACACTTCGTGAGGCCACGAAGAAAGCACCAAGGACTCAGCACCAAGTGGTGTGGCACCAGCGTCTTCAGTAGAAGACCACGATGATGGATTAATCCCCTTGTATAGTGTTAATACCCTCCCCCTGTGCACGTTTGATTTTTATATATTTAATCGGTGATGGTAATAATTATAATATTAAGTTCTTAGCTTTCTTTCCCTACTCCCTTTAAGTTAATTGCGTCACGGATCTCATCCCTTGATAGCCAATACTGTACTGGCTTGGGAACGGATACATATATCTTCCTCTAACAACATCAGAGTAAGAACCCCGTTGCGTCCCGAGAGGGCCGTAACACACCCACATGCACCCCCATGTGTCTCCGCCACATGTCTCTCCATTTTTGAAGATTTTATCCCGAAAAGTTTATTGGACAGCGTTACTCACCCAGTGAGTGAACACCCTCAAATTAGAGGAGCACTCCACATGTACCCAGACGCAGCTTGGACTTAATTGTCCTAAATGAACAGATTGTCAGACAATGAGATCAACATTTACCAAAACTTAAACTTACGTTATTTTGTGGGTGTAAAGTGAGAGAATATGTGCTTCCTCCACCGATATTCTAAACAAGGCAATAATGATGGGAGGAAGTATATACTCAAAATACAGTACAGTATATATTTATTCATTTGCTCAAAATTAGGTCATCAAATTCTATAAATTTTCCTTTCCACGCCGAAATCGTTTAATTATCCCTACATGTTCAAACCTAGTCCGCTCCAATCTTACTGGCCTCCCCACGGTCTCCCTGTTATACTATTATGTTCCACTAATGCTTACATTATACAATGAGAAGTGTTGCTTTTAGAGGCCTCCTGTGTTACTGACCATGCCGTAGTAAACTCCATTTTTTTTTTCATTACTTCTTAAGGACTTCAGAACAGTTTTGCATCCTGACGTGTTTCTTCATGTGTATAAAATACTTGTAGTTTAGTTCTCCATATTATGTGTTCAATGTTCTGCATATTTTTGGTCACTCGCCTTAAAACGAATTGTTGCATGCTAATCTATGAGCACTGTATCTTGTGTGGACTAACATACTTGTGTTGCCTCATATCTGAGGCCATCATAGGCTCATTGACCACTTTTTACCCCCTCGAGATGTTTGACTTTAGACCTGTTGAGAAATAAAAAAAAATGTTGCA